CGCTAGCCATGCAAAAAAGCACACCTTCGTGGGCGCCTTAGGAATCCAGATCGAGGAGTATGGGAATGAGGCCTCCTCTCTCACCAACATACTCTGGTAAAAGGACTTTACGGTGAACAGACCATCGCCACGCAAACCCCATCTCCAAGAATCACAAGATGTGTGAGGCCTGTCTTACCCATATAGCAGTGTCAATAAATCTTAGAGCTCCGCAATCTCCTAATCTTGCATGTTCCTTCTAAATGAGAGGTCTCATACTACCCCCTGCATGCTCTTTACGAATCTGTTTGACCATCAATTCCTTCTGGTTTGAAACTCTAACGACATTGAAACTCTGAAGACGTGGGGGAAGGAGATCCTCAGAGTATCCTCTCCACACCACCTATGATTCCAAAAGCTAATTCTCCTTCCATCTCCCACCCTTTAAGAGATGTTGCCACTGAAGGATTCTCAATTCTTCATGATGCTCCTCCATATGCCACACCCGAAAGGTGTTGTGATTGCCTTGGTCCTCCAACCCCCTCCCGTGGAATCGTACTTTTTCTACTATGACCTCCCTCCATAGAGCATGCTCTTCTACCCCGAATCTCCACAGCCATTTCCCCAACAAAGCTCTGTTGAATACCCTAAGATCTTTTACTCCAAGTCCACCTCACTTCTTTGGGGAAGTGATTGTCTGCCAATTCACTAGATGATACTTTCTAGTTCCATCCGCTGCATCCCAAAGAAAATTCCTTTGAAGCCACTCCAGTTTTTCTGTGATGCTCATAGGAGCTTGCAACAGAGACAAGTAATAGGTGGGGCATACTCGATAAAGTGCTTTTAATGAGCACTTCCTTTCTGCCTTTTGACAAGTACCGTTTCTGCCAGCCTGCTAATCTTTTTTCAACCCTTTCGATCACTGGATTCCAAACCGTAGTATCTTTATGCGAAGCACCCAATGGGAGGCCCAGGTAAGTAGTGGGAAAGGAGCTCACCTTATATCTAAGAACATAAGACAAAGCATTGATGTTAGCAACCTCACCCACCGGGAAAATCTCACACTTGCCGAGATTGATTTTGAGACCTGATACTAGCTAAAACCACTACAGGACCTGCTTCAAGTAGGTTAACTGGTCCATATCGGCATCACAGAAAACAAGGGTGTCATCCGCAAAAAGCAAATGAGAGACTCTTCGGGCACTGGGCACCCCGATCGGAGCTGAGAATCCTCTCAAGAAGCTTCCGCCCGCCGCTCGATCCATCATTTTACTCAAAGCATCCATCACTAGAATGAATAGCATGGGGGATAGGGGGTTTCCTTGCCTGAGACCCCCGGAGCTGCTAAAGAAACCACACAGGCATAACTTGATCCATCCCCTCCATCTTGCCCCAAACCCCATCCGCATCATAATGAAATCCAGGAACTCCCAATTGACATGGTCGAAAGCCTTCTCAAGGTCCAACTTGCATAGTAAGCCGGGATCTCTATTTTTCCTTCTGGAGTCTACAAGTTCATTTGCAACCAAAGTGGCATCCAAGATCTGCCTACCTTCCACAAACGCATTCTGGGAGGACGAAACAGACACGTCAAGAACCTTCTTGAGTCTATTTGGAGAACTTCTTTTGATAACTACTTTTAGAGAACTTCCAATCAATGTTTTAAAAGGCGTGAGCGTAAGGCGAGGCGTTTTACATATGCCTCAGCGAGGCGTAAGCCCCATAAGTATTTAATTTTTAATATTTTATAAAATAATATAATTACAATAAATATTTAGGTAAAATTACATAAAAATTGAAGAAAACAATAAATAAATATTTTATAAAATAATATAATTACAGTAACTATTTATAAGCAGTTAAAATTACATAAAAATTGAAGAAAACTATAAATAAATAAATAAATAAATATATATTTTATATATATGTGTGTGTGCGCCCGCGCGCTAACCAAAACAATCTATTATACGCTACTTACAAGCACAAGTAACTTGAATCTAAAAGAATAAAGTTTTCTATATGGAGGAACAAAAAGGATGACTAACCTGCAATTTGAATTTGATGTTATGAATGAGAATGGAGTTATCTTTGTATTTGTAAAAAACAAATGAATATTTGTTGCTTTTGGAAGATACTAGCAGACTAGCGGACAAGATAAGAATTTGAAAAAATCATGAATTAGGGCTTCAATCAATAAAAAAGGTCTTGACTTCTAAATTTAATACATTCCAATTCCTTTTTAAAACTTTTAAGTAATTACCAAGCTAACTTTTGAGAATTTGGGTATTATATGAAGGACTTATTCAACAAATTTTGCTTGAATTTGAAAAAATCTCTGGGGCTTACGCCTCAAACGCCCGGGCGTACGCCCCGAATTGCTCGGCGTACGCCTCTTGAGACTTTAGCTCCACACCATCACCTCGGGGCATTTTTGGTACACCTCGCCCAGGACTCGCCCCAAAAACGCCTTTTAAAACACTGCTTCCAATATCATTATTATTATTACTACTATAATTTAATTTTCACTTTTTTAATTTGGTATAATGATGATATGAGTTAAGCTTAAATGAATAAGTGAGGAATCATATCGCCAACCCTAACTTGTTTCGAACAATATTTCTTAAAGAATCATATGTGGATACATAATAAGTCGACACCACTTGAAAATAGTGCAACGTAAACATTAATTGACATGGTGATTGGTGATGTTACAAGCCTAACTTGTTTCGAACAATATTTCTTAAAGAATCATATGTGGATCCATAATAAGTCGACACCACTTGAAAATAGTGCAACGTAAACATTAATTGACATGGTGATTGGTGATGTTACAAGCCTTACATCCCGAGAGACCCAAATCCGTGTAAGAGCCGAAATTGTGACAATAGATTGACGCTACCTGTGCAAAACTTACTGATACATATAAAAAAATTATAGAAAGAAATAGCAGATGTCATACCTTTGATTCTAGTAGATCCAATATGGTTTTTCCATATTCAGTAACTAATGACTTGCACTCCTGGCTGACGACTCCTGAAGCTCCAATCGCATGATTAATTTGAGTAATAATGGTCTGAAAAAATATGAATGACAAACATTTGTTTATTTGAAAGCATGCCGAAAGAGAATTTATTACAGACATAAGCAAGAAATCAACATGCATCAAGAACTCAATGCTTTAAACTGAACAGCAATACAGCCATGTAGCAGCAGTAAGTTAATAAGTCAGACGGTCCCAAAACTCCTATTGCCATGGTTACGAATAGTGAGCCCCACATAAATGCCCAAAAACTTGATTTACTTGATCAGGTCACTAAGCCCATACGCTTTGAATACCTTTGTTGAGTCCCACATCGACAATGAAGAGGATGGGTGGTCTCCTTATATGGATTTGGCAATCCTCGACTCTTGAGCTAGTTTTTGGGGTTGAATTAGGCCCAAGGTCCATTTATCATGGTTATTAGAGCAGGACCCATCCCGATTTTCTGATGTTGGGCCCCCATAATTGTTCACGCTCCAGATGTCTAGTCCTGGGCGTGAGAGGGGGTGTTGAGTCCCACATCGACAATGAAGAGGATGGGTGGTCTCTTTATATGGACTTGGACAATCCTCATCTCTTGAGCTAGGTTTTGCGGTTGAGTTAGGCCCAAGGTCCATTTATCAACCTTCATCCAGTAAAGAAGTGTGTATGGATAGAAGAAATAACGTAGAATTCAATCATCTTATTGTTCTTTGCAAACAGAGGAAAAAGAAAAGAGGATGTATCCAGGTGTGAGAATACACCTCCTGGAATTTTATAAAGCTCTTTGGAACACAGCAGTCAATATCATTTGGGAATTCTAGGACTACATAAGATGTAAAGACCATGCCGTTATTTGTAATGTTCAACTCGGTTACTGGTTTGACCGGCATTTTAGCAGGTCTAAAAGAAACTTGAGGAAACCGAGCTAGCCATTGACACTCCAAATAGAAGCAATCAGAAATGTCGCAAATATTAAGACAGATTTTACACAACCAAATTTGATAATTCAGGTTTCAAAAGGAAAAACAAGAACAAAAAGTGCTGCAGTTTGCTCATCAAAAAAATGTTGCAGTTCTTTTAGATGTGCATGTTATCTGCTTCAATATTTGACATGAAGAACAAATATAATTTGTAAGTGTGGTTCTGATTCCTATTGATCATATTTTCACCAAGCAAGATACATACTGTTGGTCCTGCCAATAAGGATGTTCCAGAATCTGCAATTGCTGAACAACCACCTGAACAAAACCCTGGAGAAAACAGAATATTAGCTTCACAGACTACAAGAAGATATTTGATCTGAAAATTCAGAATCATTAATATTCACAGGCAACAACATGACCAACAAATGAAGAAATACCAGTTGTTTCACCACCGACGAGTACGTCACCCATATCAAACTGAGAATAGGACATACTTTAATCAGTCCAAACAAAAGTATACAGCATAGGTGCAGTTAAATTTTTAGAAGATGAATTAGAAAATCTACCTGCCAGTAGCCTTTGTGAGTTACAGGAACATATGTATGTTTACCCTTGAAATGGTTGGGATCAACTCCACCGAAAACAAGTTCACCCCCTTCTTCCTCTTGAGCATTCCGATTGAACCAGAAAGAGAATATAGGTTTCTTAACAAGACCTTGATTTACCATATTGTACCTAGAGAGTATATTATATATGTCTCAGGACTTGGTGAATCAAGCAAGACTAGAATTTAGGACATAACAGATTAAAAGAAGTAAATAGGAACCAACCATGAAATTGAAGACATAAATAAGAAAATCTAGCAAACTTAAAATTCAAATCTAAAAAATTATACTAATAAATATTTTTTGAAATGAAAAAAAAATTATCATAAATATAAGAATAACATACCAGACGGGGACGGCTTTCCCCACAGATATCTCTTGAAATCCAAGACCAAGAATACCATCAAACTTGGCAGCCAAAAAGGTGATGCCTGGTTCTCGAGTTGCCTCAATAAAGTCCTACTCCCAAAGGGAAGGTTAAAAAAGAAATTCACGGAGTCAACGCAAAATGCTTCAGTTCAATATTTACCTGATCTTTGACAATAAGATCACCAACTTTCACATTGTCATTGCTAAAGTATCCAGAAATAGATCCAGTTCCATAGCGAATTGCAGCAGATGTGCCTGTATCAAGAATAAACTGATTGATAATAGGAAAAAACAACCTTCATGCGTTCACAAGAATAAATAGCCAACAAGAAAAGAGCTTCGTCTTCGTTTCCAATACACTATCAATAATTCCAGATCTTAGTCTTGAATACTTAGTCTCTCCCCAAGAGATGATTCTCACCTGTCCTCCTATATAACAGCGATATGTTAAAATTAATCCTATTAGGACATGTCACAGGACAAGCATTTGATTTTCTCACAGTATTTAATGGTTTTCCATCATTTTATCGGATATTAACACATGAAGATAGTATGTTCACCATTGGAGACGTGGAAGGCACCAATTCACCAACTTTTTTACGGTACATGGTGTCTAGCAAACCGTCTCTCTACCTGCACAATATAGAGGTAAGGTCTACTTACACACTACCCTCCCCAGACCCCACTTGTGGGAATATACTGGATATGTTGGTGGTGGTGGTGGTGGTGTCTCGCAAGCTCCTTTTTTAAAATATAGGTGGAAACTCAGACTAACTGTATTAGTGTCTGACCAATGCTAAAAGAAAAGCATTTGAGAAAAATCCTCTCCTAGAACTTTGGCATGCTATGCCATGCAGTTAACTGCGAGTAAAATATAGGCACAACAATTTTATGCACATACAATTTACATGCACATCCACAGCGTTCAAATTTGACTTTTCTTTATTTCTGGCATTAAAATTCGTCTGATATTCCCAAGAGACAATATTTTCATGACACCTCAGCCTAACAGAATTGTTGATCAGGTCAATTTAAAAAATTAAAGATAACTTTTTATTATCAGAACGACCTTCATTAAACGAAAAGAAATTACCGCACACACTCAATCAACAAATAAATACATATACTCCAACAAATAAACACAAAATCGCATATTGGATTCTAACGGCAGTAAGGATAATGTGAAACAGACTAGAAAGGTGCAAAACTAGCATCTATATTACCATTCTTTTTGTAGGTACTGGAATGACTTGACTTGTACTTGGGGTGCAAATAACAAGCAAGCTGCATCAGATAAAATTGACATAAGTCTTCGTCAAGATATGGAAACAAGCATTTGCATCAGCAATAACAACAGTATATGGTTACTCACTGAAAAATAACATCTTGCAGAGGGCACCCAAAGATTAGAACTTCCGGTATCAAAGATCACAGTGAACTTTTGAGGTGGTGATCCAATGCAAATCTCACCAAAATACTGAGCATCCAAGTAGTTCTTTAGTGCAACAATATCAGTATCTGAATCTCCTATATTTCCGACAAGATGATAAGTTCTTGCAGAATTTGCTCCATTAGAATCAATACCACCAAAAGCCTGGTTGATCTGATCCAACTTCCTCTTCTTAATTCCAACTCTGATCAGTCCATCATTTGATACAGAAAACGCCATAGGGGATAAAAGAAGCAACAAACACAGTGCAGTTAAATAGGTTCCATATGTAGTACCCATGCTTAGCACTGCATGACACATGACAATGAGTCAATTACTCTTCAACTGGAATGCACTCTCCTTTGTCATTAACGAGTCTAAAACTTAGTTAGCATAACAAAACATTTAAATGTTTGATTTTCCAGAATAAGTTCGAGTTAAAGCATGTTACTCCATACAGAGCTGAAAACAAAAGCAAAAATTATAGCGAGACACGACAACACCTCAAAATCTGGAAGACTATAGAAAACAAAAAACAAAGAAATAGACAGTTTCACTTCCCACCACAACCTTTTCTATATAGCTGAGGATATCCAAAGAATAGATAAATGTATATGCCGATGACCCACCCGAAGAACACTACCAAGTGGGGGGCAAGGGGGACAAAGATATCAAAATTTTATTAGACAAAATTGAAGCTCTAAGTGAGCATAATTTGACATCAACTTATAAGGTTAAAGAAGCAAATAGCCAACAACATAAAAAAAGGTTTATCTGCAATGTCACAAATATTTACAAAAACAATTTATCTTCTAGTGTTCAAACAACACGTAAGTGGTAACAGAATGATAAGTATCCCATTTCAATTTTGATTCTCAAAATCGTCCTACCCACATTAATATATTAGACACAATGCACAAGTACAAAAGCTGTTTACAGAAGCATAAATTTCAGCCGCAAAAATTTCAGATTTCCCCCAAAAATTGATTCTTTATACTATTATCTAAGCTGGGTCAACAAAAAAAAAAACATAAATTTTTGTCCGATCATCTCAATTTGATCAAAAAATTAGTCAAAAGAGAAACTAGATCATAATTATAACTTTGTTAAGGGAAAGATACTACGTAAAACAGATTAATTAAGATGATAATGAAGCTTACCAGAGGATCGATTCGATACAGGAGAAAAAGGAAGAAAGGTTTTTAGGAGAAACCTAAATGAGGGAGAGCAGGAAAGGAAAGTCAACTTATAGAAGTTTGCTTAGCCACTTGGGTTACTCACTTTGGCCGAGGTGCGATATCTATTAAATTAATCCAAATATCTACCCGTCATAATTGACAAATTAATATAATAATGGAATCTTACTTATATGCTATATTCAAATTAAAATTCGCAATTATTAAGAAGTAGGAGCAAGAAAAGGAAAAGAAAATTTTAAAAAATGGAGAGGGGGTTAGGGGGGGGAGAGGATTTTATTTCTTCTTTTTAGACGGAAGAATCGCAAGAAAGGAGGAATACTAGAATATGAATTTATAAAAATCCTTTTATTTAATAGCTTGTTCTTCAAAAAATTTATTACAGGAGGAATATGGGAATTTAACATGCACATATTGTGTTAAAAGACTTTCATCAATACCGCTAACTAATGTATTTAGGAAGAATATTAGGCAAGCTATACATTTGACCGATCGGCCAAAATAATTATATATGCATAAAATATATATATTATGCATTAGTATAGAAAAAAATATTTTGTTGATTATTATTTTGTAGAGTGGCTATAATATATAATTATACTTATATTCTTTTAGACATAAAAATTCAACAATGCATTTGAAATTTAACGCTCAAGTATATACTTATTGAAATATATGTATAGTCATCTTCCTAAATAATAACCGAAATATGTATATTCTTTATATATTAATGTATAATATAAATAAATAAATATTATATTATATACCATCTGCACCAGGACCGGGTAGGCGGGCGGTCGTCCGCACAGCCATCCAGATCTAGTTGTTTTAGTACCTTTAAAGGTTGGCGGTAATCCGCACGACCAGTAAAGATTCCAAATATACGAGAATTTTATTATAGCTTTAATGACTGTATGGAAGGAGATATCCTTTTACCCAAGCAAGGGGCCTGTCTAGGTCTGATACATACTTTTATTGAGCTCATGTATCTAGCGGTTCTAACTGTGAAAGAGAACGCCATTTTAACAACTTCAACGGGCTTTAGAGTCATAGTTGGCTAGACGGAACCACTAAGGTAAAGCCAATAAGAATAGTACCAGAGTTGACTGTACCACCATCTTGGAACCAAGACAAGAAACTATATTAAAATTCTTTTATATTTTGATAGAGTCTGGATCTTTCATGGTTAATGTGCAAGAGAAGTTAGATCTTCAATATAGATATGAATTTGTTTAGCCGGACATAGTCACGGCTGGGGAGGGAAACAAAGTAATTAAAATACTAAAAAGATAAAATAAACAAATACCTTTTAAGGCCGGGACGCAAGGCTTGAAGATGAACTGAAAATCTTTATTTGCTTCAAAGGAATACTTACAATAGAAAGAGAGATTTACAGTTACGGGTCGTTTGGTAGGATGCATTAGATAAAATAGTGCATGTATTAGCTTTGTGTATTAATAATACATTGTTTGGTAGACATTTTGAACCTATGCATTAGTTATGCAAGCATTAGTTATACATCATATTTGGTATTATCCTATGCATAACTAATGCATAGAAAACAATGGTATTAGCAATGCAATGGATTTTAATGCATGTGTTAGCTTAGTTAAAGACAAAATTGTCCTTCAACATTTATGCTTGATTACAATATGCTAGTTATTATATTGATGGAAGTTTAAAATAATCCAAATAGTGAGATATGAAATTATAGCCCTAGTAAATAAATAAATACTTAGCATATTTCCTTTTTTATAAATAAATATTTAGTTCTATTTTACATATAGGTAGACAAATTAAATAATTTTTTTAAAACTTTTTGCGATAAAAATATTTCTCAACATATGTTTCATTTAGAAAGTTGTGATGGACTAATTTTGAGGGTATTTTTGTAAACAAACAATTCTTTTAGAAATTGCACAATGCTTTAATACATCAAACCAAACAATGGATAATAAATATGTAAGCATAACTAATATCAGCATAACTAATGCAAGCATAACTAATACCAGCATTACTAATACACCATATTCAGCATTATTCTTATGCACCCTACCAAACGACCCCTTAGAGAGATGAATTGAAGAGAGGGAGGGAGTTTTTCTGATGCCTCTTCTAAATGAGAGGAGGATCCTACTTATAGAAGAAAAAAAACATAAAGAATCTATGTACAGTAAAGTGGGTCCCTTATATGGGTCCCTTAAACAATATATTTACTCTGTATACAGAGTATCTACTATGTATACAGTGTATCTACTGTTGATATGGGGTCTTCAGTAATCTTATCAGATAATCATGGTCTTCTTTCGTCCAATCCTTTCATTTGTTGGAGGAAATCTTCCACCTTATCTATGGTTTTGCAAGATAATATTATTTCTGGTTGCACAGGCTATGAATCATCTTCTACGATATCATCTCCGCTTGTTTCACTTCGCATCGAAGTGTCGGATCTCTCATATTGATTTAAATATTGAAGCAAATTTCTTTTTACTTTTTCTAAGTACTGATTTATCATTTCAGTTTTATCTCCTTCTTGCACTGAGATCCTTCTGGCGATGTGTTTGATCGAGTTATCATCGATCATCTTCTTTTGAGGACTGGTTGAATAATCTTGGATTTTTTCTTGAATAGAATCCAGGAGTTCTTGTCCATATAACACTTTAGTCTTGGGATCTGTCTTCATGTTTGTTACAAAAGGGTTTGATAAAACCCTCAAAATCTCCTTGGTCTTGTTCTGCATTTTATGTAAACAATGCTGCAGAGAAAGAACATGGCGTTCCTAGGTTAGTCATAAATTATAAACCTTGAATAGATATTTGAAATGGATTAGATATCATATCCCAATAAAAGGAGGAGGATGATCTTCATCCTTTTCCTCTACCTCTGCCTCTGGTGGCCCACGAAGGGTCCATCATGCACAGATAACAAGCCGGTTTATTCAGAAAAGAAATATTCTCGCATATCATCTCTGATTTCTTCAGAATAATCATGAATAGAAAATTCATCTGCAACCATACTATCTATGATTGTTTCAATGATGAGACTTTGTAAGTCTCTATTAACTTAACCACTTTAAGAATAATGATTAATAATTTTTCATCGAGAAAATTTGTGTAGAAATTCATAATTAATCTAAGTATTCTCGGGATAAAAAATCCGGAAGAGAATTATCAATTCCTTTTTTGTACAGAATTTCGAAATCAAAAGGCGCTAGTTGGGCTTGCCATTTAGCAAATATTAATTTTGAAGCATCATGTTTAAAATCTTTGTTAAACATATACTTAACAGACTGGGCATCAGTTTTTATCAAAAACTTTTGATTATATAAGTCGTCTTGAAATTTCAAAACACATTTAACAATGGTCAACATCTCATGAGCCACAGTAGCATATTTTTTCTAGGCTTCATCCCATTTTCCTAAGTGAAATCTTATCAGATATTCACAGTTATTGTTGGGATTTACTTGTTTCAAAATCCCACCATAGCCAATATTGGACGCATCTGTCTCAATAATCTTCTGCCATGCAGGGTTAGCAAGAGTCAAGCAAGGTAAAGACTTAACACGTTGCTTAATATTTTTGGCTAGCATAGTATGTTGGTCAGTCCAAGGCTGCTTATAATTCTTTTTCAGCCTATCATACAGAGGGGCTAAATCTCGAGATAAACTCTTATAAAAAGGAGAAATGTAATTTAAACTACCCAAAAATCTCTGTAATTGAGTCCTGTTAGTAATAACATTAGGAAATTTTGATGCAAAATCAATCGATCTTTGTATAGGAGTAATCTTTCCCTGACAAATATTATGACCTAAAAATCGAACATCAGTTTGAAATAAACTCATTTTCTGTTTAGAAATAACTAAACCATTTTGTATAATAATTTTTTTGAAAATATCAAGATGCTAAATATGCATCTCAAAGGTTTTAGAAAATATTAATATATCATCAATATAAACGATGATAAAATCCAGGTAGGGGTTGAAAATATCATTCATAATTTTTTGAAATTCAGAATGGGCGTTTTTCAAACCAAATGGCATAACATTCCATTCATATTGGTCAAATGGAACATTGAAAACAGTCCTATAAGTAAGCTCTTTAAACATTTGAATTTGCTAATATCCAAATTTTAAATCGAATTTTGAAAATATATTGGCGTCATATAATCTAGATAGCAAATCCCTTTTATTGGGGATAAGATATCTAATCCATTTCAAATATCTATTCAAAGGTTTATAATTTATGACTAACTTAGGAACGCCACGTTCCTTATCTGTAGCATTGTTTACATAGAATGCAGAACAAGACCAAGGAGATTTTGAGGGTTTTATCAAACTCTTTTGTAACAAACTATCAATTTCCTTTTTGCAGAATTCGACCAATTCAGGGTTCATCTAGCAAGGTCGAGATTTAGTAGGAATATCATCCTCGGAGAAGTTATTTTCATAAGGAAGAGTGACAATATGCCTTTTCCGATTCCAAAAGGCACTAGGATGATCGGCACAAATATCAACAACCATTTGTTCTGCAATTAATTTAATCTTCTGCTAAACTTTAGCAGATTGTAAAGTATCGAATATATTTATACTCAATACTTCTAATTGCAAGGAATCCAAGTGTCTATGCTTCATATTAATCAAAGTATTAATAAAACCATTTGAGTCTATGTGAGTAAAAGGATAGATAGCATTAATAAAAGGAGTTACAAGTATAATTGGAGGGTATAACTGATTTTTTACCAAAAAGAAGAAGTGAGGAATACAGACTTTATTTTGGCAGATATGAGTATTCGATAGCTTATACTCTATATCTAAAGCATGACCATAAGTAGATTTTACCAAATGAGTGGTTTTTTGAAAATATTTAGTAGGAATAAGTCCTTCTTGGATGCAACTTACATCTGTTCCACTATCAATCATGGCTATATCAGTTATAGAAAAATTATTATCAATCAAAATAGTACATTTAATGTACCATCTGTGAGCAGTAACAATTTGCATCATACCTAAAAACATGTCAGATTTTTCATCAGTCAGATTTTTACTATCAGAAATTTCTTTTCCTTTGTCATTAGAAAATTCAGAAATTCCTTTA